TCAGTTTCTGGATTTCAGATGATTAGCCTTACTGGCATAGCTCTGCTAACAAGAATTACTCACTTCTCAAGTCTTTTTGATAGTAATTTCAAGCTTAAAGTTTGCAGTGTAAACTTTTACATACACACAAAACCCATGCAGAGTTTAAAGGAATAGTATGAATTCAAGTTTTGTGCAAAGAACAGAATTTTAAAGGGGTTTTTTCTCATTAATGTTATGGAAAAGGATTTTGGAGGACTGAGCATCACAGCTAAACACTGCTGCATGCTGCCCAGTGCAATACCCAGGAAGTGACCTACAAGAGTGATGCTTCTCTGTTTCACTTGCATGATGAAATAACGGAAAACAATTTTCTAAGATGTACCAACTTAAAATACTCGAGAGTTTATAAATAATATAAGGAACAATAGTCTAAAGCAACTGATAATTAATTGATAATGCAATACCTAAGGGTTGTTTTCTTTCCCTATCAATTTCAACAGCAACAGAGCAAGCTATTCCTTCCATATCCTGGGAGACCTCTTCACAAACACAGGATAACACACCTCCTACTGGTGGTATCACAGGAGCACACTGCCATACAGAAACACATCTGAAAAACTGTAATACATCACCCTCAGGAGTTCAGCTGCCAACACCGTGACAGATGTAGTTCCATCACCAACTTCATCATCTTGAACCTTTGACATATCTGAAGAAGGAAGACACAGTATTACTGTTTTGATTCAAAATAACAGGCTCACCAGTATTAGATACAATTATTTTTCTCTTGCACCAGTTTGGAAAAGAAAAACAAATCTTACTATTTATTTAAAGAGGGAAGTCTATAAAAGCCACAGAAGAACATAAGATGCAAATCAAATTCAGCATCCTTTAAACTCCTGCTCCAGTTCCAGCCTGGTGGTGGTCAAGAGCTACTCCCCTCTGTCCCCAGTCCTAAAGATGTTCACCAAAAGGACGTATGGCTAGACAGAAGCTCTAAGGTATACATACAGTATCAGAAACTACAATAACCAACTATGCCACATGAACCGCTGATAAACTGGGACCCAGCAAACATGAAATCATTAAGAAATTTAACACCTAATTGTTCAGGCCCCTGCTTGTCACTAGAACTGGACCACTGGTGCAGAAAGACAGTCGATCAAAAAGGTAAACTCTGTCCAGAGTACAATGTTCACTGAGTTATAAAGAGAGATTTAAATTAGGGAGAACCAGAGAGAACCTCTGTTCTCCTGTAGATTCCTGTTACAAATTATCCCAGTGAAAAAAAGAGGGGCACAAGCTGTCTTTTGTCCCTTCTGAGTCCTGGGACAAACCAGGTTTGAGGGAAAACAAAAACATCCCAGATGAGTTTTGAAGAGCAGCATATACCTTAATCTTACTTTTGCAGAGTTCCACAACTCTTGCAGTACCTTGTGCTCCTTGTTTCAGGATTGCTGCTCCCCCTCCCTTCCATTTTTCACAGTATTTCAAGAATAATTTTCTAAGAACAAATAAAAACTACACAATGAAGTTACAACTGAAGGAATACCATGCCTTTAAGAACTTACCAACCAAAACCTTGGCAGCTGGGTTGTCAACTCCAATAGCCTTCAGGATGGTTGCACCATCGTTGGTAACTGTCACAGAGCTGTCTCTCCCAGTACTTAAAAGAATCTTGTCCTACAAGATGCAAGATTTAGAATACCGGTTGAAAACATACTGTAACTATTAAAGCTCAATTAAGAGGTATGACTACTGAGAGCTTGCAGCTGCCTTACCATGCCTTTAGGCCCCAGAGTGCTCTTGACTAGGTCACCGATGGCAATGGCACCAACAAAGGATGACTGAAATGAAAATAAATATACCTTAGGGAACAATTTATTTCTACTCTCACACAAGAATTATACCCTATCCCCTAGCTTTCAAGAGGGCATTTTAACACAACCTTTCCACAGCCACATTTCTTTCAATGGAGTCTGGGTCCAAGTTTCTTAACTGCTACATTTTGATATTCAGAACAAATATACTTAATTCTCATAGAAACCAAAAAAGCTTGCCTCAAAGCCAGAAGAAATGCCGAATTACTTAAGTTTTTGAACAACGAAGTTTATCTGATTGTCAGTATAAACAACACTCCTCCTCCCTTCTGCTCACAAACATAATAAGGAAAGACAGAGACAGAAGCTCCACATCATCATACACGGAAAGTATTTTTAGCAATAGAAAAGACAAAGTTTAATTATCTCTAGTACTACTAGTTTCTTAAAAGAATTAAACTTACCAACCGAGCTGTTTCTGCCTTCTCTTCATCTGCACCTGCCTTGAAAATGTTCACTGGAGCAAGAGAAATGGATGCCTAAAACACAGTTAACACAAGAATTTTCCTCTAGCTTTAACAAAACTACGCATTTTAAAAACAAATCCCTTACACTAACAACTTAAACAATGGTTTTAATATTAAAATGACTTCTATACCCTATTTGGTTTTGATAAAAGGTATATTTAAGATAAATTCATTCACCTTAGAAGTCTGTCTTGCAATCTCACAGTCTTACGAAGGGATTACAAGACCGAGTGCAACCTATTCCCAGAGGCTGCAGAGTACATTTGCTGCTGGGACCCCCGAGACCGAGAGACTCATCACCAGAACCTCACTCCAACATCCCACATCCAACATTCGCCAGACCAATCACCAGACCCCACCAGCACAAAGGCTGGCACAAGCAGCCTTTAAGAGACATTAGCTGAGCACATTAAAGCTTTAGTATTTTGATATCTGGGCGGATCCCTTATCTTCCTTTTTCTTTTTTGCTGTTTTGCATTTCAACGAAAATTAATTATAGCAGTGACGAACACGTGCCTTTAAGGAGCACCACTTGCAAAGCACCCAAGGCCTTCACAGTAAAAGGATCAAACCCCAAAAGATCACCCGTGCCCACGCTGCTAGGTGAGTGGGGAAGGGTGGGAGTGGAGGCGCTCCCGGGGGGCCCGGCCCCGCCCCGGCTCCAGAACCTTCCGCGCCCCCCGCGAGTACCGCGTGGGAATGGAAGGGAAGGGAAGGGAAGGGCGCGGCCTCCAGGCCCCACGCGCGCGCCAGCGGGGAGCATGGCCGCCGCCCCGCCCGGCCCTGCCCTGCCCTCCCCCCCTTGCCCGGGCCAAGGCGCCGCCGCCCCGCTCACCATGGTTTCGGTGCTGCTGCCGCCGGACCCACCGCCCCTCCGCACACCGAGCGCCGCCGCACAGCCAGCCCCGCCGCACAGCCAGCCCGCGGAACCGCCGTCACACACAACGCCCCTTCCGACCGCGCGGCGCTCTGGGAGCGCGGGCCGGCCCCGCCCCGCCCCGGGGCCGTCCATGGATGGAGCGGCGCTGGGGCTGTGGGGCTCGAGCGGCCCTGGGGCTGCGAGGGGAGAGTCTGCACTGGCAGCGTGCAGAGGCGCTGCTACAGGCTGCCCAGAGGAGTTGAGGATGGCCCATCCCTGGAAGTGTCCGAGGCCAGGCTGGATACGGTTTTTAGCAACGTGGTCTAGTTCGAGGTGTCCCATTGCCGTGGCAGGGGGGTTGGAACCAGATGAACTTTAATCCATTCTGCGATTCAGTTATGCTCCTGGAGGTCAGTTCTTAAAGAGGTCAAAGACATTTTTAATCGATGCTCTTGGCCTCCAGTGCGCTTGCCAGACCATCCCATATAGCTGCTATGAGATCATGAGATTCACGTCACCAGTTAAAAGCAGTGCGCAGGAGATACCCCAGCACAGTCCCAGCACTCAATACCCTCTTCATTTCCATACTGAAATATTGGCATCCATTCCCTTGGTAGCTTTGCCAGTGTGAGACAACACCCGAGCCTTGCTTTGTTACTACTTTTCCTCCACACAAAAAGCTCTCTACTTACTGGTCATATTAAAAAACCCCAGAATTCTTTTGTAGGATTCATTCCTTGAGAATGAATTCCAGCTGGCATTCTTCTTCTTGGTGACAGATAGAATACTTCAAATATATGCCAAGTTGTTCTAGATTCAAACTGGCAGAAATCCATCCCAATGAAGATAGCAAAAAAGAACATGACTAAAACTGCCAACTTTCACCTGTATTATTGGTTTTAAGTATGACAGTACCTGGTTAGTATTAGTTCTTCAGTACTTTGGGCTTTTTGCTCTGTTTTCCTCACAGAGTTAGGTATCTTCTCTCCCCCACCCCCCCCAACCTTATTCTCAAAACTGGAGTACTAATTGAATTTTAGCATCTTTAGCTTTCCTCATAGGTATGCAGAAAAGTATTTAGGTTTTGGCTGGGGCAAATAACCCAACTAAAACAACATTAACAGCTTCTGTCTCAGAATCAGAGCATTCATAAAGGTTTACACTGAAATAATGATTCATTTTAATTCATATTTGCTGCTACAGTGGTGTGAGTTGGGGGAAAAAATATTTTAAAGTGCCTCAGACCATAATCTGAGTTACAGCCTTTGGAAGATCAAGTTTTATGCCTTAAAACACTGACCTGGGAAGGATTAAAGCAGAAATAGGGAATTTTGATAAATCACCACCATATTTTATAGTCTCCAGAAGAAAGTCAAAAGGCCACTGGGACTTCAACCTTTTATTTTCTTATTTATTTCTTTCGGAATTTATCAGTACTATGCTGAGAAATTCCTTTTGGGTTTTCTGAAATTGTAGCACATTGAATTGCTGGCATGTGATTCACTAGCCAATATTGACAGCAACATTACTACCACGACAAAAAATCTCAGTCTACGTGCATGACAAAGACATGACAGAAAACTAGCAGAAAATGAAACAGAAGTTTGGAGACAAATTTAAAGACTTCAGGTCATCATGCTCAGTTTTGGGTTTGTCTTTTTATTACTGAGTAATGAGTGCAATATGGAGGCAGGGAGGGCAGAGACAGGTACCTGAAACAATGATTTGAAGAAAAGCAAAAAAAGGTTATTAAAAAAAAAAGACAATACAGCGACACTAACCCTGCAAAATACTGAAGTAACCCACAGACAATTTTTAATGTAAAATCAATAGTTTATTGCCATGCTACAATTTATTTCTTTTTTTTCAAATGAAGTTGGCACTGGTAAAGGGGGAAAAAATGTTGTCATAATACATAACACATTTTTTAAAAATGCACATTTGGTAAGCTTTCTCAATAATGGCAGCTTAAAACAAGTGAAATTAATTTTTTAAGATTAATGTGGAATGACATAAAAATACACTCTTTCTGCATAGTATAAGAAATACGGAATGTTTGTAAAAACAAATTCATTTAACAGGGAAAATTACTTGAAATTTTATAAACAATTTGGCAATGGTACTCCCACTGTTTAGACTTTTTCATATAAAAGAAATAAAAATCTAGAAAGCTACCTTTATACAAAGTTGCTATATTTATGCCTTTAAGTAGGAAAAAACATTTTATAATGCAAATTAGGACATACAATAATCTTACAATATGATACAATGTAATGACAAGAAAGGAACATACAACATAAGATTTTGGCCTTTCTAGAAATGTCTATTTCTGCATTTAATAAATGCATTTGTGGCACACTGGTGACTACTGTATTCTTACTACCTACCAGTCAGCTTTCATGCTAGGGCAGTATTCAGCTGTCTGCAGTTTGGCTGAGACACAGAACTGCTTCTGAGGAGACCAAAGGTGATGCTGCAATGAAGCGAGATGTGAGAAAGGCAACGTGCCTGCTGGTCAAGTCCCTGTACTGTGGGACACCATATAACACTCTTTCCTTTCATACCAGAGCATTTCTTATACATTCAGTTAAGTACCAAAGTCTTACAAGTGAGAACATCTGTGTTTGCAATTTGGCAAAATTCCAGGGAAAATACAAAGTTAGTACCAAATATATTTTATATATAAAATGTGGGTGTATGATATACACACATGTTCTAATGCAAAAAACTGCATTATTATGGACTTAAATTCGCTGACATACATTCCTAAATAACATGGCCATTAAAAAACAGGTGTAACCCCAACCTTTCACACACTTTAGAATCACTTCCTCTTTCATACACAACAGTCAAAACAATATATATGCAAGTATGACCAAGAAATCAAAATTCCTGTAATTATCTGAACTCTGACCACAACAAACATGATTTGTTTTTCAGTACATGTAATTAAATATATTTATATTTTTACAGTATTTTTAGACCATTCCTGAAGAACCTGACACCAGGTCTTCAGGTGTAACAGAGCTGTCAGCAGAACTTGATCTTGTAGGAACACATCCAGTGGCCCTTGAAGTCAACATCAGTCATTTGTTCAGCTTCAAAGGACGCTGCATGCGGACCCAATGAGCTCTGGAAGGGTCACCCTGCTAACAAGGAAGATTCCCTGATGACACCAAACCTCCTTCTCAGACTTCCTTTCCTACTGCCAAAGGGAAGGACCAGAGCAAAGCATACATGGACTCTGGGCTCTCGGGGTTGCTTGGCAGGTGGTGTTGGGAATGACCATGAACAGCACAGCCCCAGCACCAGGGATTGGCAAGGTAAGCTTCATGGCACCTTTTGCACTAAGGCTTCTCATGGGAAGTAGAGGAGCTGCTTCCCCCTAACTCATCGCTTGGCAATTCGGTCACCATGGGTCTCAGACACGAGCTCTGGCTGAGACCCCAAGGCATTCAGTACTTTGCAGACACAGAGGAAGACGGTCCCTATTCTGAAGGGCTTCAGCCTATTTTTTTAATCATAATTTTTACATAATCTCCTTTGTATATACACATATTTGCTACATAAAACAGAATTACACCAAAGTAATGGATATAGCAGAAAACGCTGTCACAATATATGTATATTACCACGCTAAATAATTACTAAAACTGCAAGAAAAATTTCAAAAATGCCCTTCATAATATATAAAAATATAGAAATGTCCAACCCTTGTTTCATCCACTTTATCTCTCTTATTCTATCTGTACACCTACATATTTCCAAACAAAATACTGCGTTAATCTGGAGTAAACACTGCGTTAGGGTAATATCCTCCTAAGACATCTGACAGACTTAGTAACATACCTTATAGCACAGTAACACAAGAAATAATGTATGCATGGTCGGAGTTGCAGATGCTAGGCTCTCTTTTTCTTTTTTTTTTTTTCTTCTGATGCACTTTCTTTTCCAAAAGAGGAAATAATTCCTAAAGATTGTGAAAGAACCTCAACTCATGACTTCCTGTCTTTTTCGTATATGCTCTGTAAGAAGGACATCAACAAACTTGACTCCATCTTAACGCAGTTTTTTGTGGTGGAATTTCTTCTGGACCTTTTTTCTTGGAGTGTACATGAATTTAAAATAAACATATAATAAATGAACTTAGGTTTATATTAAGTAAATACTGTCAATATGAATGCCTGAATTGCTACCTCAAGGAGGAGATGGGAAATATCGTATCATTAAATTCCAAAAACACCTACTTCTATTTATCACACTGAAGGACCGAACTCCTTTAGGGGAAATAGAAGAATTTCAGATTTAAGTCCACTACAGTTCCTACTCCGTCAGTTGCATCTTATTTGCATCCATTAAATAAATTAGTACAGTGTGGAAATTGAACTTCACCATTGATCCCACCTTACATGAAGAGAATACTGCTTAGAAATAGAGGTCCAAATCAGATACATCGTTATATGCTCAAAGTAGTAACTGACGTTAATCAGAACTTCCATTTTTACTTCACCAACAATGAATAAAAACAATCTGCTCTCTCCTAACTCTGTCTCATTGAGACGTGGTTAAATATTAAACAAAAGCAAGGACAGCCAGATTTTGAGCCAATACATACTGTTATAAAACTAGCAAAATCAACTGCTGGTCTGTCACATACCAAAGCAGCTCTGACACTCTTTTGGACTTTGTACAGCTTACACATTTCTGTGACCTTTTTTACACCCAAGCTCCAGTCAGAGGTGTAAACACACACACAAATATCCAAACATCTGGGGATGGGGACACACACAACAGGGGGATTTAAGCAATTTATTATATGAAATGTCTCCTCGAACACTTAAGTTTTCTATAAAAGCTCTGCAGACTTTATAAGGAACAGAAATAGTGCTTCAATGCACACCATCACATTCAACCCTTGTCACATGCAAAATGTATTTACTGGAGGAAACAAAAGATTATTTTCCTGATATAACAATGGATTAAATTCTCACTGCCTGTATTTCTAGTACAATCTTTATTATGTAGTTTTGGTCACCATTTCATCTTTTTTACCCACTCAGTTTCCGTGTTTAAAAGATACACTAATGTCTGTCTTTCCCCAATCATTGTAGTTTCTCGGTCTATATACCTGTGGGCCCAAAATAAATATGATCTAAATACTGTGGAGAGATTTCAGATGAAAACTGAATCCTAGATTACAGAAACTAAATCTAACATCACAGCCTTTAAAAGAAAAATTTAAAAAAATATTTTTACCAAGTCTAAAAGGGTAAAGTGCATTGCAACTGCATCTACTTCAAGGGGCAGAAAAAAAGGAATGCTAAAGATGAGTAGTGTGGGTAACAGGGACTACTCTATGTTTGCAGCATACACAAAAAGAGAAAGCATTATCCCACCTGTAAAAAGTAAGAGGTTAAAAAAGTAGTCTTGGAAAGTATGTCATCAGACTTGTTAGTATAATTAAGGCTACAAAAATTGAAATTTCAGTATGTTCTCAATTCTGGGGACCAGAGCTAGGAAAACACTGTGAAACTTGCAACAAGATAAAAAAATTCTCAGACCATTCCTTTTATCTGAAACTACTGAGACTAAACGCATAGGACAGTGCACTGGAACTAAGGAGAGATATGCCTGGTTGTTGAAATTTCAGCAGGTCACTTACAATTTACCTGAAACCTGTTTCTATATTTGGCAGTTAAGAATATTACTTCCCTGCCTCACAGGTGTGTTTTTAAGGTCCAAATAATTTGTCCAAACTGTACAGTTGAGGACCAAATATTTCTAAGCAGCTAGTTAGATCGAAGACGTTTGTCTCAAAACACAGGCTGAAGCGTTAGTTCAGCTCACAAACTTTAGTGAGCTATACACTAAGAGCAAGAATCACACCAGTATTATTAACCCAGGAAGTATTTTGCAATGTATGGTAATTTCTCTTCAGTACAGACCAAGACCGGTCCATAGCATAAGGTGAGGCAATGGCAAAGATGTGTGGGAACACTTACAGAATCACAGAATCAATTAAGTTGGAGAAGACCTCTGAGATCATCTAGTTCAACCTATGACCAAACACCACCTCGTCAACTAGACCATGGCACTCAGTGCCACATTCAGTCTTTCCTTAAACACCTCCAGGGATGGTGACTCCACCACCTCTCTGGGCAGCCCATTCCAATGTCTACTTGTACTTTCTGTGAAGAATTTCGTGCTAATGTTCAATGTAAACCTGCCCTGGTGCAGCTCAAGACTATGTCCTCTTGTCCCATCATTAGTTGCCTTGGAGAAGAGGCTGACCCCCACCTGGCTCCTTTCAAGAGACTGCAGACCTGTAAAATGCCTAGCTTTAGGTAGTCATTACCTTTCTGAGTACCAAGTCAGCAAGCCTATCACAAGAATATGCAGAGGCTGATCACGAAATCATTAATGAGGATTGATTTTTTTTCTTAAATTTCATTTAAGTTCCTCATAATGGTCTCAGTGACTCCCATCTTTTACTTCTGCAAATTATGGTCTTTGTGCATCTGGTATTTCAGTACCATACAGTCTGTAAAAAATAATGAAAGTCAGAGTGAAAAGGTTGCCTGATAACAGCTAATGGTGTGGCAAGACATGTATTTCAGGTGCTACTACTGCTGCCACTACTAAACAAGAGAAGACCAAAGGAAAAAGAGGAACAGAAATACACACCAATTTAAAAGACTGAAAACAACTAGGTTTTTTTTTTATAAAACTTCAATTCAAATATTGCATGAAGACCCTTAATGCTTTTCCGGATCTCCGAATGGCTTTTCGTGCATATTTTTCCTCACAGTTCAGGGGTTATTTTACATCATACCAGTTCACACAAGTGTCAGTTCCTTTGCAATTACAGGCTCAAGAGCAATCTCTTCTACTGCTAGTACCAAGGTGCGCCTGCAATACTGCCAGAATTCTAAGATTATTCAGAGTATTAATAAACTAAACAAAATAAAAACTTCTAAGGGTGCATCTGGCGTATTCAACGAAGAACATTCTACCTGGATGTACCTGTAACACTGAGCAGCCATCGTTGTGACCAAATTCACCAACTGCAAAAGGAAAAGAATTATGCTTGTAGATAATACTACCTTCAGATAATTTACTACATATCTTTCTAAATTAAAGTACACTATCACCTATGGATGCACACTGCTAGAATGTACAACTTTCTATAAAGAACTATCAAGTCCAGTACCCTGCCTCCCGTGTAACCTGTGTTTGATGCTTTAGAGGAAGACAATAACTGCATAATAAACCTTTCCAGTTGTGCAATAATGCATGCTGCTGGAGAGCTGGGATATTTCTGTCAGGCATAAAAAAGTAGAACACTGGACAAAAGACAACTATTTGACCTTCAAGAGTCTTTCTTTGTCAAATGCAGAGAGTAAGACAAACACATATACGACCCTGAACAATAATTAAAGCTATGTACAAAATTTTGACTTTTAAAACAAGACATTATGGAACAAATAAAAAAGAAACATACAAATGCAAAGAAAGGAAAGGACACTGAACTAAGAAATGACAAGAGAGCCTTAATTCATACAGCCCACCTGTGAATTCCTTCACAAAAAAAACCCAAAACGCTAATGGGATTACAATTTTGCCAGATTTCACAGGGAATTTGATATGCGACTTGGAATTCTATTCTAGCGGAAGGAGCTTAAGGCTGGATTTAGATGTGTTTATAGCTCTGATCAACGAGCATCAATGTGACCTCTCAAAAATCACACAAGTTGAGAAAACCGTCAGGAATTAGAGGCCTTCTTGCCCACAGACAAAAAAGGTGTGGTGTTTATATTCCTTGAGATGAACCAATGTATCTTGTGTGAGTCAAACTGAGTGAATTAGCGTATTACATACATTTCATTCTGGAGGAACCACTTCAATGAGAAATGAACATAAGATATGTATATTGAAAGATTAGGTTTACCTGCCAATAATGCACATATCAAGAGGCTTTAAAAAGTGTTATAAATGCCATTAATGAGTATAGGCACCAGACCAGAATATTTATAAATTCAAAACCAGCATGTCACTCAGACTCTAATCAATTAAAGAGGCACTGTGAAAGGTGGTGATGCTGCTATGCAGTAATTACTTCTACTGTAGAATGAAATAGTGTTACCTAGATGAATACTTGCTCTACATTAATTCCCTTTAGTTAGACAAGTACATGAAGTATGCAGAAGAAGTTCTATTAGTCTATAAAAGGCATTAGTGTTAAGAAATGCAAAGTACTCGCATCTTCAATGTTATAAACTTCACAAAAGGTGCAAATGATTCAATGCTTCCCAGGCTCACATAGGCAGGTCAGTACTGTTATGTCTAGTTTTCCTAGAAGTACCATCATCTCGGGGCAGTGCTTTTTGCAAGCTTGACATAGCAGCAGTTCTTTCAATGTCTATCACAGCATACAGCTCTGTGCGCCTGGTTGGCGTCTGCGGAAGTGGAGTGGTGGGGGTTTTTGGAGTCTGAGGGTTGTCAGAGTCACTACCACCTTCCAAGTCAACCTGTATGTAGTTGAGCTGCCTGTGTTCTAAACTTGGACGCCTAATGTCGAAGTTAAAGACTGTTGGCGTACAGTCCCGACGTCGTGTAAATTCTACTTTATGAGCACTTGGTGGTACTGTTACATTCTCTGTATTGACATAATTATGCATTAGATCTAGGTTATTGTGGTAGCCATTCAGAGATGGGGTCTTTGGTCCTAAACTGTCATCTTCATCTCTACTCAGCTTGCGGGCTTCCCAAACAGGAGGCAAGGATGGCAAGTTCTCATAGTTCAACAGCGCAGTTCTCCTCTGAGCAGAGTTGTTAATGTTCTGGGTGTCTGAGGTACTGGTTGATGTCAAGCGACCTCTCCTGACCCCTGAGGCACTAGGGATTGATAACCTATTTATATTTTCATACACCAGTTTATTACCAGATGGTGTTTCTCTACGTTCATCACTGTCATACCCAGTGTCCCATTCAGTGTTGTTTGTGCTGCTGCCGCTAACTTGATCTCTCCCAAGTTGCTCCAGTTTCTCTCTTTCCATTAACTGCCTTTGAACAGGTGTTGGTCCTAAAACAAATTTGACTCCTTCAGGCTCCAGGAGAACCTGAGCATCTCTGTCATCAGTACACATCTGATCTTCTTTCACTTTAGTTATTTCAGTGTTTGAAAGCTTTGATTCCAGTGGCACATGCACACTCGATCGATTTTTTCTTTCTTCTTGTACTCCAGTAGTGTTGACGTAAGTGTGCACCTAAAAGAGGAAGAAAAAAAAGGAGATTCAAATGCTCTTTGTGCCTTTTTTTTCCCCTCCAAATTTCTTTCTTTCTTAGCTCCCCACTTTTCAAATAAAAATACTTGAAAATAAAATCTTGTTATGGTAAGTGCTAAGTGTAAGGTCACCTCTCACATTTTGTTGAACTGTGGTCAGTTTTGGTTTTTTCCCCTGAAATTTTGTTGTTGGTTTTGTTAATGCTACTATAACAAAAGAATAGAATTTATATTTTAGATTAATAATTAGCTTTATTTGATGTTTTATCTCAGTTGTACTCTCATTCTCACTTTTCAGGTTCTATTAGAGCTTTGCTCTGATCAGGGCAAACTTGGGCGGCTCCTTACTTCATTACATCCATTAGCTCATTACTTCACATGGACAGATCAGTGAGAGCTTTACTTTGTTGTCCCTTACCATGACAGTGACCAACAGTTACTTTGCTAAATTTGTCTTTGTAATTTCCACAATGCAAAGGAAACTCACTGCCCATAAAAGAAAAAAAAAAACCCAACCCAAACCAAACCAAACCATAGAGAGACCTAAAAAAAACCCTCAGGCTTTTTTGCCTTGTGTACTATTGCAGCAACAAAAAGAGAGGTTGGGTCTACTGGAAGAACAGTCCTTTCTTTCTTCAAGAGCCAACAGCCTCTTAATAACAGAAACTGAAGTAGAAAAATATATAATTCCATATGAAGAGTGGCACTCAGAATTAAATAGAAGCAGGAGTTGTCACCATATGCCACTAGGAAAGGCAGAAATACACTACTAGGTTATCCCTCCAATTTCCCAAAGTGGATCAACACAAGGCTGAATGGAAAAGACCAGATTCTTTCTCTAAATTTTAATTCTATGTCTGGATACCCAAAAAGCAAAAGTAGTATTTGACAGTAGCAGTCGTGTAACCTTCCAAACCTCTCTGTCAAGCCCTCCTGGCTGAAGTGTTATTTACAGCTCACTTGAATCCTACACTGATACTTTAACTCATTTACTCTTCAGTAACTCCAACAATAACACCTAAACTCTTCTGTGGTGGCTCCTAACAAATCCTTTCCCACAAGACAGTTCACTGCACTCTGCTCTGGTTACCCTCTATAGTTTCCAACACCGCTTCTTGTCACACACAAAAATCTTCCTAAAACACATGACATTATTAAACTTGACTAACATCATCATCAGCAACCTGAATGATGAGAAGGAACACACCCTCTGAGAGTTTTCAGTCTTTCCCAGACTGGTAGGCTTTCCACTGAGAGGGATCTCAGCAGCCTGGAGAACTGACCTCATAGAAACCTCAGCAACAGCAAATGCAAAGGCCAGTGCCTGGTATGGAACACTACCAACAAACAGGCTAGACACCAACTGAATTGAAAAGTAGCCTTGCAGCAAAGCTGGGGGTCTGGGTGGATGGTAACTCAAATGTGAGTCAGCAGCATGAAAAAACAAACTTGCACTGGTTTGTGTTGGCAGTAGCACAGTCAGTAGGTTAAGGAACATGGTTATTACCATCAACTCAGTTCTTGTGAGACGGAATCTGAGCTCCTCAGTACAAGACAGACATTACCATACTGGAGCAAATCCAGTGGAGGGCTGGAGCATGTGACACACAAGGAGAAGCTGAGAGCACCATCTTTGTTCTGCCTTAATGAAAAGGCCAGGGAACCACCTACTAGCTATTTTCAATTACCTAACATATAAAGAAGACAGAGCCAGACTCTTTTCGGAGATATTCAGCAAAAGGCAGTGGACAGTGGACAACAGCTGTAGCAAGAAAAACTCTGATTACATATTAGGGAGAAATGTTTTCACTACAAAGGTGGTGAAACACTGGTACACATGGCTCAGATTCTGTAGAATCCCCTTGTTTGCAGTATTAAAAACATGACCGGGATGAGGCTCTGTGCAGCTGTCTCTAACTTAAAAATTTGATCCAGAGGACTAAAGGTTCCTTCTAACCTAAAATATTCCACGATTTCTATTTGCCAAATATAAGACTTACATATAAAGAAGCTTTTTGACCAGGATCTCTCATTATAACGTACAATTACTTGTGTTTAAATATAATTACTGAAATTTTTGAAAAGAGTATAATGCAAAAATATTCTTTCTATATCTTTATTTGTATATAAATATGAAGCTATCCTACAAAGTATCATTTTAAAGAGGCAAAATATAATAAAAATAATATAATAAACACTTTTCTGAGGTAGTTAAAATATGGTAGAAATACATTACACCTGATACTGAACAACACAAGTGAAAGCCTACAGAAAAATCATTAGAAAATTGAAAGTAATGTGGAACATAAGTTCTAGGAGGGGGAAAAAAATACTCACTTGCTCTTCTGCTACAAGTAAAGGATGTGTTGATTCTTCACCGACAGAGGGGAGGCGTGCACTTCCGACAGAAGGATGTCTGCTGGAAGGATGTGATGAAGCATCTCCAAAAGATGGGTATCTGGGATAGCCATTAGGTAAACTTTGTGCATTGAACCCAGGAGCTGATTCAATTAGAAAACAAGCAAAACCATATTAAAATAGAACATTTTACTGTATATTAGTAAGATGCTTTATACATTAATTTTCAAATTTCAAAAGGGAAATTAAAATATGTAAAACAGTATTAAATATTCACAAGGTTCAATTTTGCTTGGAGGAAGGAAACAGAGAGCAGAGAATAGCATCCCAGTATTTACTGGGAAACATGACTGAAGCAACGACTGAAACCTGGGTGTATTACACACTGCAGTCCTCCCACTAAGCTCCCTATCCAACTTTCTACCATTAACGTGTCTTCCTGACAAACAGAGATTTATTTAACTAAGCTTCCACTTCTCTAAAATTATCAATTACCTGGAATTCCTAGTTTCAAATATCAAGCTATCTGCATGAGATTACCTAAAATCTTCTGGTACTTTTGAAAGCACTCTAGTCTGCCTGTCCACCTACTCTGAGCAAAAGAAAGATTTCAGAGCCACTGTCCATGTGATTTTACCAGTACTTTTTTCCCATAATTAAAAGGTTGGAACATTGCCCAACATTAACATTTCTCAGAAATGCTACAGGTAAAACACGTTGATATTCAACAGGTGTAAGTGTTCTCGTGCAACAACTAAGTTACTAAAACTTATTTCTTAGAGATGAAGAACTTTACTATGGCAGTTCTGCTTCCAAGACTCAGGGTTCTCAAAAGAGAATCCTCAGCAAGGACCTCAAGAGAATGCATTACTGGTAGTTAGTCTCAGCTTTAAATTAGTTTTCTTTTTAATCAAATGCTATTTTCAGCTAAGTAGCACGTTATATTCAGGTATGTCATCTGACAGTAGAACCATACTTACTGGTAGGTGTTCGAGGGGTTCTTGGAACTTCCAATTCAGTTTGATGATTATTCCTTTCTACTACTGGTTCTTCTACTACATTTATGCTATTATTCTGCATTATCTCTTGTAACATGTTAAATAGCTCTTCTGCCCGGGCACATTTAAAGGCAAAGATTCCTACAAATACACACACACACACACAAATTAAAAATCCTTTAACTAAGAAACATGCCTTACAATATATGTAACTTTCAAGAAATAGAACTGGAATCCACATAATGAATACCTGTTAATGAAGCAAAAACGTTATGAAATTTTTACTGTACCAAAACACACAAAGTTACTGTGAGAACCTTTAAAGTGGTTATCTCATAGAAGAGTAAGAATCCCATGCACCAAAAGTTAAATTAGAACAGAAAACTGATTCAGTTAAGAGCAAAACTAGGCTTTGAGTGCTAAATGAGGGGGGGGAAAACCCTACAAGATTCTTTCTTTTAAACTCATAAAAAGGATACCTACTAAATAAATACAATTTTAAAAAATCTTTAAATGTAACTACAGTGATGCTACAAGGTCATATTTCCTAAACTGGATTTCTATTACATAACCATAAAAAGAAGATACCTGCACAACAAAAAAAAGGATTTAAACACTGGGTAGAAGCTTAGTTTCTTAAAGAGGATTAAAATGAAAAGCTAGTAAGACAAACTGTGTGAAACAGACAGTAACAAACTAATTGCTTTAGGCTAATAGACACAGAACACAAAGTTAGCAGCAATACCGTGTATTTTGTGTGTGTATTGTGCCACTTTGCCTTTGAACAGCAGGGAGCGTCCCAACTTACCCTCACCAGCAAAGTCGCAGCTTTGGATTATTCTTCCATTGAAAGCATGAAGTTAAAGTTGACATGCTTGTTAAACGTGGGTGCAGGTGCTCATTTTTCAAAGTGAGTATTACAATCATAAAACACTCTTTACTAAAAACTACCTACCTATATAGCTTCTCCTACTGTAAGTGCAGTTACGTGTATATGCTGGCAATTACTATCATCATGTATTTATTTAGGGACGCAGAACTGTGACAGATCAGAACTACCAGAAATGCTCCACGTGGCAGAGGTTCACAAAAACCCACCTGGGAATACCAAGTGGGCTAGGAGGAATGACGCTCAATGATTAATACTGAGCTGGTGCACTGAATAAGCTTCATGCTTGCAACACTGCAGCTACAGAGCTTCTACTACTATAATTCCCTGACCCATGATCCAGCTCAAGTACAATAGTCTATGTTTAATATTTTGTGTATTTCTGAAAATTCACACTCGATACTTAAATCTTAACGGACAAAAAATAGAATTTAAAAAAATCTAGGTTCACAAGCTTGTAAAGCTCCCAGCATGTTTCCAAGAAATTCAGCTGCTTTTAAATATATTCACATTAAGTACCCTGTGATCTGTCACACAACATGGTGACACACCAGCTTCTCCAAGTTTTCTATCCTGAATTATCTATTAGCTGTGCTCCTAAAACATGTCTTCAAGTTTTTTAACACCTAGCACAAACTCAATGTTTCACCATCAGTGCACTCTGACAACTTTTCAATAGATACAGTTTGAGATTAAAGGGAAAACTCAAACAAGAATACTGGCTAATGCAAGAAGTTGCTGGGCAGTATTCAGTGAATTCTCATATGAAAAACTCAGTCAATACACGAAGTGAAGATGAGGTTTTGCAACTGTGCCCACAAAACCCAGTGTAGGTCTCTGGAACAATGCTCCATTGCAAAAGGGCAGCAAAGAACATTTTCTGCCAGATTTCTTTTTTCTCAATATTCACAGTATTTTAATATTACATAAGAAAGTCAAGAAACAAAAGAGGGAGGAAAGGGTTGCTGCTTACACAACCTGCTTAATCTTCTCTGTTAAAAAAAAAAAAAGAATAAAGTAATTGGGAGGAAAGCAGAGAAGTCAATTAGACTTGGTGGAAAATTCTGCACACTTGCTAATAGACTGTGGAAAAGAACCTTCAAATTAGTATTTTCAATTAAATATTATTAGTATCTTTTTTCAATGTTTAAAAGAAGCAATAAATTAAACCTGCAAAATCAATTACAGTGATTATCTTCAAAACAAAGTTTATTACCTTCTGAAAATTTATTTTAGTATTGTGACATTTGAAAACGTCTCCATTTCTCATTAGGAGATGAACTGAGAATGTCTTCTAAAACACTTACAAAAAAGAATTTGTCTGCCTTTACCTCTGCTCAGGCAATGCAGGTTTATTTATGATCAAGTTCTTTCATCTTCCTGATTTTTTTACATTGAAATTAAAAACCAAAAATTGTAGTTTCTAAATATTGTTGTTGATAAAAACCACTAGTAAATGTTAAAAATTTGTAAAAAATTGCAACTTAATTTTACAACATATGAATACATAAAAATTCCAGCTACACACAGCCACTTCACAGTAGAAAGGTACAAAATGAGGCCAAGACCTCAACTGAAACATCCTCCCCAGGGACTGCTGCAGTGAAGAGAGAAGCCTAAATCTTCTCAGAGGCAGCCAACCTTGGCCAAGGCAGGCATGGTCTGGGAACTGGAAAGGTAACTTTCTTCCAGTGAAAGCCACACAGAAAATAACTGAGCATAGGTGAAGTATGCACAGGTCATGCCAAAACATGTAAAAATTTGAGAATTATGTCATTGATATAAATGAAAGTGGTATTTGCTTTAGGAAGAGGATGAAACACAAGCATGTTACTGAAGAAAATAATAAGGTGGGGACATCCAGTTCATATCAGTCTTTTAAAATCTAAAAACAGAGAATTCTTTGAATTCTGAAGAGATTCCTCCACAGTTCCAGATTCCACTGCCTCCCCCTTAAAGTCAAGTCAACCTCTGAGGCAGGAGAATTTCCCTGTCAAAACCACCTCTTAAGCTGACCAAAAGTATTCACACATAGAAGCTTCAAGTCCTCCAGACCTACAGTGCCAAAAACTATGTGCAATTCAAAAACTCATTCCTCATAATGTGATTTTTTTCCAGAAACCACATTCACATATAGAACTATAGCCTTTACAACCCTTGCCAAAGGACTGGTAAATATCTTCCAACATCAAATAAATTTCCAAAATCTTTATATACAAAATTTCCACATACCTTGTCCAGTTTGACACCTTCGACCACTTTCAAAAGAGAAAAGATTTGAGTCATAGCCATAGCGACGGAGACAGAGGTAGTGCCATTTTACAGAGTCCCTTTTACGGGTGTACAAAATCAATTCTGTATCTGTAAGTTCCATTATGCCAGAACCCAGTTCATTACCATCATCATCCACATTAATAACCTATAAAAAAGATATTAAAAAGTATTAGGTAAGTAGTCTTTTGAGAAACGATACCATTTCTAATAATCTAGATCCTTGAAGTAAAAGTTTTTATTAAAAACAAACAAACAAAGAACACTTCACCAAACTAGTTCCTTTGCTCCCCCAACCCAGAATTAAAAAAATTAAAATAATACTTATTTAAAAGCAGTACAAATGAGACTGTCTAACATTACTGTAAATCCTGATGAGAAATTTAAAGTGGAAGAGATTAATAAGTCAAATACTTTTTTTTAAACTGGCTTTATGTACATATTCTAGTATTTCCACATGCATGAGGCATTCCTCAGATAATGAAATCTCTTAGAGCCCCATTTCTAGAAAAAAAGGTATTTGCTTTGTCATATAACCCCACTTACAGTTGGGAAAAGGAATGAAAAAGGGTAAAGTGGCTCCAAGATAAAGCTGCCTTACATACATGTATAGCCTTGCACTGTGCTGACTCACCCAACAATTTTAGATATTTTGCTGCCTTTTTAAAGTCAACAAAAAGCCTCAAATACCCTATAGGTATCTTGTGTGAAAACATGAGTATAAAGCTTCAACTCTTATTCCTTTCTGCTTTTAAACCATTTTGAGGTCATCTGGATCCTTTACAGAATTTGGACAATATATATTTTCCCCTGCATGTATTTTATCTCACAGTGCTGCTTTTAGTGGGATTCTTTGTTATTCACTAAAAAAGCTACCAAAAATTTTCCCTATGGAATTAATGTTACTCCTTAAAGAGACATTTTCAACTTGAAATCTAGTCAATTGAAAAGAATTAGGAGTAGTTTCATCTGCCACTGAGGCTTATGCCAATTTTCTTCATTTTGCAAATTGCATTCTTTCATCTTCTCCCTCCTGCTGCTAAATCAGCAATCCAAACAATAGAGAAATTCTACAAGGAGAAAATTAGGAACTAGTTACACAAAGTGATGTCAAATGCATAAAGAGCAAGAAAACAGAGAAATATTTTATCCTTCAGCTTTCTTTACTGACAATATTAAACATTTCCCTAAGGCAACACATGAATCGTTTTTCACTATGGAAGCATTACATTCCTTTGTCAACTCACTGAGAGTTTGGAGCACAGAAGCAAATCTGACTTGTGTGACTATACAAAGGTATGTTTACTTAAAGTCACTGACTTCAGCAGCTTCATGTTTAGCATGTGAAGCATACGAACAAGTGTTCACAAGCTTATAAATTCCAGAGATATATGGGACAAAAGCACATTTAGAAATAAATTTCTTCCAAGTAAAGGGCAAAAGTTCTCAAAATGCTACAATGAGGAGTGACCTTCAAGTAAAATCAGCAGTCCTAAAATTTTCTATTGCTGACTCTGCATTCAGGTTCACAATTACACTTCTCTAATAGCTCTTCCCTTATGCTTACAACTACTTTCCTAACTTCTGTACCCTTCCAGAGACAACAACACTTACTTGGCCCCTACCAACTGAAATGGAGATGGATCAAAGCACAGGGCTTCTTCTCCCTCCTAAAGATCAAAACTGTCCTAAAAAGCCTACCCTATCTAGGGAATTCCTGTCACTACTAGTAAGAGAGGATCCCTCAAAGGGGCAGGAGAAACCTGCCAACCACAGACACCTGCAAACTCTGCAATGTTTCAATTAGTCAGAAATCTGCACTCTATTTTAATTTAATTTTTTTCAATCCCAGACCTACTCTGCAAGAAAGCAACAAAATAATTCACAGCATACCACATAAGTTGCATACCTTAAACTTGTTTCGGTGGTTATCTGGGACAGTTTCTTTATCTGGACAGCTACAACAGCTACCCATGACTTCTTTAGAAGACCATCTGATCTCTAAAGGGAAAAAAAAAAACAACCAACAAAATGATCATTTAGTAGAAGTAAAAATAGAGTAGCATCAACAAAACAACCCAGTGCAAATTACTCTCTGAAATTACAATTCTTCCCGATGAATTTTGCAACCATAAGTAACAAGAAATCAACATAGATACTACAAGTATAGTAGTTAAGTTAGATTTGGCATTAAGGAGTGGCAACACTGAGCTGTTAAAGTCCTACCAATAACTCAACCTGAGGTTACTACCAAACAGACACATCTGATCTGTCACCTTAATTCCCATGGTAGCAGCTTGGGGGAAAACAAAAACCAATAACTTATGGAGTATGATTTTCATCTCCTAAACTGGGGCCTAAATGAGCACTCCCTGGCTCAGGCTGCTGAGCACAGCCCTAGAGCCGCCCCTAAAAGCCCTGGGTTGTAGGAGGTTACCAGGCACAGGCAACACAAAGAGCCCACATGGCAATCCTGAAAGGTTGCCTTGGCTTTGGCAGCTCCGGGGCTGCTTTGCAAGAGAGGGTGGAGGCATTCCAGGCCTGGAGGCAGCCCTGTGCTGGCAGCCATGCAGTGAAGTTCTGTGCTTCCACTTTTGAATATTTCCCATATAGCAATGTACATCAAATTATGTAATCAAAGTCAAAGGAAGGAAAAAAACCTCACATTCAACATAAACATTTTAAAACTTGGGGGATGGGGGGAAAATTCTATTAAGTACCATTTGAATTAAATTGTTACCCATTTGCTATAAAATAGTAAAATACTCAACTAACACAGAACAGCATGGCTAAATTAATGAAACCAAAAATAAATATTTGATTTTTTTTATATTTTCATTTAAAGATTTTTCTATATATGGCAAAACTTTCATAAAACAGTTTGATAAAATGTTCACAAAACCAAGTCTCACAACTTGCTGCTTCTCCCTCTATCACCACGCAGGGAGTGGTAAGCCTTGTATTTCTTAAATACGAGGAAGTCAGACAGAAGAAAACTTAACCCATTTACATCATATTTATATTGGATAAGAACTAAAATTTCCACTACATAAATGAAAAATGGGGCAAAATCCTGGAGGAGAGCTATTAAGTCAACAAGAGATATGACATTAGGAATCAAGAAGAAAGAAGGGGTTGATAACTCTTCCTGACTGAACAGGGAAAAAAATCTGATGTCACCTTAAGAAAACTCTGACTTGTTTTCTAGATGGGCATTTGTATTAGCATGCAACAGTAGTATCCACAAAGCATTTTAGTCTGCTGAAAAATAAGGTGCAAGGAATGCAATGAAGAGCATCTAACTCTTCCCCTCTTCTTGATCAGAAAGGCCACTCACATGAGATACTTCTACCTTGGAGACTGTATAAACCTGTATAAATCTGCCACCAACCCCTTGCAGAGGTGAAGCAAGAATTTAACAGAAAGTGTAACAACATGGCTTGGATTAATCCAGTCAGAAAGAGGCAGAATACTCAAAATCATGGATTCTTTAATGTCATTTCTCATCATAACACAAAAATATGCGTTAATTTGACAGAACTTTTTTTTCAAATCAAGGGAAAGACCTCTGAGATCAATCATGGAGTCCAACCTATAACCTAACACTACCTTGTCAACTAGACCATGGCACTAAGTGCCACATCCAGTCTTTTCTTGAACCCCTCCAGGGATGGTGACTCCACCACCTCTCTGGGTAGCCCATTCCAATGCCCAATCACCTTTTCTGTGAAGAACTTCTTCCTAATGTCCAATGTAAACCTCCCCTGGTGCAGCTTAAGCCCGTGCCCTCTTGTCCTACTGCTGGTTGCCTGGGAGAAGAGATTGATCCTCACCTGGCTACAACCTCCTTTCAGGTAGTTGTAGAGAGTGATGAGGTCACCCCTGAGCCTCCTCTTCTCCAGGCTAAACAACCTCAGCTCCCTCAGCTGCTCCTCACAGGACTTGTGCTCCAGACCCTTCACCAGCCTGGTTGCCCTTCTTTGGACTCGCTCGAGCACACCAACATCATTTCATGTAGTGAGGGGCCCAGAACCGGACACAGCGCTCAAGGTGTGGCCTCACCAGTGCCGAGTACAGGGGAACAATCACTGCTCTGGTCCTGCTGGACACACTATTCCTGATACAGGTCAGGATGCCATTCACCTTCTTAGCCACCTGGGCACACTGCTGGCTCTTGTTCAGACAGCTGTCAATCAGAACCACCAGGTCCCTTTCTGCCTGGCCCCTGTCCAGCCACTTTGTCCCCAGCCTGTAGTGCTCCATGAGGTTGTTGTAGCCAAAGTGTAGGATGCAGCACTTGGCCTTGTTGAACCTTATACGGTTGGATTTGACCCATCTATCCAGCCTGTCCAGGTCCCTCTGCAGAGCCCTCCCACCCTCCAGCAGATTGACACCCCCAGCTTGGTGTCATCTGCAAATTTGCTGATGGTGGACTCAGTTCCCTCATCCAAATCATCAGTAAAGATAATAAACAGGACTGGGCCCAGTGGGGAGAAGTTCTGAATGTTATCAGTCTAATCTATCAGTTCCAGACCACTTTTAATAATCTTCACACATACATCCATTGTTATTTTAACTACTCATTTTTTTAATTATTATTATTTCTTTCCTGTTCTATTCAGAAAGGGAGATACAGGCAGTAATAGCTATTACTTATGGCACAGATGCATGCACTTAGACCTCAAATGTTTTGACAAAGTGTAAACAAAACTAGATAGTTGCGTGATGTTCGTATCATAACTTTCTATGCATTCAGCATAAAATAATTGATCAAATCCGTTGAAGGCAGGTGTCTAAAAACTTTAAAAATAACCTTCAAAATTTAACTGCAAAGCAGTTTGGGGGAAAAAAAAAATCACTGGAGTTGCAAGAAGAAAGCTGTAGCATATGAAGATGTATAGCATCAGTATCTCAAGAATGACAAAGAAAGGTTATGTAATCAATAATCATACAAGCTCATTATTTTGTCTCAAATATATTCAAATATTAATATTTCAGAAAACCAAGAACTGCAATGCTGCTTCAAAGGAGAGATATGAATCAAGGCTATAAGGAAGAAATTAAACAGAGAACTGGCAGAATTAAAAATCACTCACCTAGATTTGGCCATTAATATTCCCAGCCTCTGCTGCAGCATCAGGGCTTCTGTCATACTCAAAGTGTCATGATGTCTTGTCACAGAACGAATCATTTGACCTAGAACTAGAAGAGTAAATAAACGTCATTTTTTCTTGTTTCTAAGATGCTAGTTAGTAAACTAAGAAAAATATACACTTTTGTTTATTATTATTTTGTCACTGTAATGTCAAGTGAGGTTTTCATGACTAGGAGGCATCTGAAGTGATGTTTTAGACAAGACCAATCTTTTGGAGCTTTTGTGCCTTGGAAGAAAATAATTTGGCATTCCTTTCTGCAACATAGCCTGTCACACTGCAGACTCCATTCATTCTCCACTCACTGCTTACTCAATTTAGTGTGTGGAAATGACGGATGAGAAGCTCCCGTTATCCTCAGTACATACTGAACCAAACCACGGCACACAAACAGAAGAACACACACAACTTACGCTGTATAACTTCCCCTTGTTTGTTCTAGTGAACATACACAAATGCTGACTTGTATGGCTAACACACCACCCTTTCTCTGCTTTCTTTATGATTCCTGCTCCATGACATGAACCATAAATTGTTTGCTTTTACTTCCCCTCACCCCCCGGATTATTCTCACACCAGCTATCCACTCACATTTAACACAAAAACTCAACTGCTGCTTCCATCATGCCAACAGTTAGCGGCCTCTGTTCTCTGTTTGTAAAACTGCCAAACAAGCACTTAATGTTTCCTTTGATGCTGCTTATTAAACTCAAGAGAAGGGCTAATTTCTCAGAAAAATGCTTTGTTATTAGTCTTTCTTATCAGTCTTTCAGGATGTCTACGCAAACTTCTTTGAAACCAGTGCAGCTTTGCTTACAGATTTTTTGCTGCAATACTTTCTATTCACCTGCTGTCCTCTGCCTTGCACCTGGATTAAAATCATCTTGGGAAACCAAAGTACTCTTCTTTTTTGCATAATATCAAGAGTAATGTAGTCCCAAATTCATACCAGGTCCTAGGCATCATTACAACATCATTACAACAGTTGCAAAACAACTTTTACTGTGAAGGGATTGTGCAAGAGGACAGCTCCATAAAGAAAATGAAACATAACTGCTTGGAAAGAACTAAAAGAGCCAAAACCACAATTTTTTGTATGAATCCACAGTGCATCCCCAGATGTAGTAATGCATGCAGTTCAGCCTCCCCTGTCAAAAAAGACAGGCTCAGCCTGAAAAAACTGAGCAGAGAGGTCAGAAAAAATGAGTACAGAATTATAGATGACACAGAGAAGATAAATAAAGTAGAACTATTTTCCAAATGCAAGCACTAGGGAACATCAGTTGACATTAAGGAGCAGGTTCAAAGAACTACACAGAAATACTCTACAGGGTATGTAGTTATTGTGATACGCAATGTCCTGTGGGAATGAGTTCCAAAAATTTACAGGCTCAGAAAGTAATTGGACAAAAGCAAGCTCCATGAAGAGCTTTTAAACTCAAGAATGTCACATCTGGCTCAAAAAGTCTCTAAGCTGCAGATACTTAGAAGTGTCTTAAAGACTGATCATAAAATGTTTCTTCTTATTATTCCCTTCCCTATATATTTATTATTTGCTGTCAGAAATTAATATTTACTGTCAGAAATTGGATACTGGACAAGCTGATACTTCAGGTGTGATCCAGTAAAGCCATTCTAGTTAATGCAAATGGAGGACATCAATGCAGTATAAATTTATGAGTGCACTCCCATAAGACACTAGAAAAGGAAATTATTAACCACTTATACTTAACTTGCAACTAAACCCTAGATTTCACAAAGGTACACAAAAAAACCCTTATTGGACTGCTTGACAGATATGTACTTTTGCATATAGCTGTATTTAGGACCTACCCCTCTGCAACACGCACAGGCTCTGGTTCTGTGTTGGCCCTACCTAATCTAAATGTTATTATTTAGCTATGATTTTTGTCAGGTTAGACTTTTGCTTGCTTACTGTACCAAACCAGCTCAGCAGAGAGTCTAGCAAGTGCCAGAGGAGCTGGGGACAGAACCACAGCCTTACTCGCCTCAGCCCAGCTTTCAGAAAAATGAGCCCCTTAACTATGACTGAGATTTAAAGTTTAACCAATTCCCTGCTAAAATCTTCAGGACATGAGAATGGAAGAGGAGCAGAAAACCCGACCCACCCACTCTAGTGGAATCTTACAGGTAGTCATTAGAAAAATAATAAAAAATTTTCACAGGCAACATACCTTATTGCAGGTATGTTTGCACTAGTCTTTACCTAGCTAAGTTTTAAAGCTTTCACACGGTTTGGCTACCTAAAGCAGACTAGCCTGGTTCAGCTCCCTAAGAATGACTCTAAAACAATCCAGGCAGAGTTCTTGATGGATAAAAAAAAAGTGCACAATTTTATTCCCCACAGTTTTACAGCAGTTAACTTTTTTTAAATGTAAAGCAGCAACAAAATTCTCCAGTCAGTTGCTTCCAATTACAAGTTGGTTATTTATTCTGTTTGGGATTTTCCTAAATCTCCCCAGATTGCAAAATATTTACCGAAAATTAAACATATGAGGAGAAGTAGACATTTTCACAATTACAACTCTAAAACTTAATCTCTTCAGTTATGTCTACAGTGTCAAATTTAGGAGCTCCGATTTCCCATTCAAGAAGCATCAGTGGTGTTTGGGTGCAGTCATGCAAGGAGGGGGAAGAGTACGGAGAGCAGTTTCTGCTTCTCCCTAACACATTCATTACTGCACTGCAAAGTAAAAATCCCAGGCAAGACAAACCAGGACCAGCACTTATCTAAACCTTGTAAATGGGAGTGAAAGTTAGGAACTGCTGTAACTTCACTAAGTTTTATCACTAGGCTTTGTAAATTAAACCATATCTCTTTCCTTCATAGACTTATCAGGGGCAACAAGTTATACTAAGCTCTCAGAAGTCAAGGAAGACAAGGCATCAGTGTAAAAAGAATAGATATTTAGGGGAAAAAAAAAGACAGTCAAAACTTGTAGAAATTCTAACATTTGAAATTCTGTAGTCTTGCCCAGTATGGGAAAGGTCTGAACAAGGCGAGCGCTCCCCTTGTGTAAGAAAGGCCACTTAGACACGCTGCAATCATACTCCTCCTCTTGCTCATTAAAGTCAGCTCATAGTTGCTAAGCCGACCTAAAATCTGGCTTTAACATGCTCTGGTTACAGACTCAAACACTAACTTTGGGGAATATCTTCTGTACTCATGAATTCCTCTCCACACCTCCTAAAAATCAGGGAAGGAAAAAACCCCAAACTGTAGCACACCTGAGCAGAGGTTGGAAGAAGCAATGGTGTCTTGCCTGTAAACCCATTGTTTGTACACAATCTTTCCTACGGCCTTTCAAACCCACCACTGTGCTAGGTCCTCTGCTATGTCTTGCTCTAAGATTTACAAGTAGAGAGGAGAAAAAATAACTGAAGTTCATTAACATAATTTAAAGTCATTTTATGCCACAAAGTTGTAGTAAAAAAAAAGTCATTCGGGTTTTTTGCACACTCAGAAATTTTAATATCTAGAAAGCCCAATGAGTACAACGAAATAACTGGAGAAAGGTGCCTGTGTCCAGATTGTTAGCACTCCACCTGTCAAGAACCCGAACCTACTCATTCACATATTATCAAGCATTTTCAAAGATTGTTTCTTGTTTGGCTTATACTATTAAAAAAAAAATTAGTAAAAATGAAAGGACGTAATCCCAACCACTAGAACATTAAAATCCTCTGCGTTTTTACTTCTTACTGTTATTTAAAATATTTGCTTAAAAAGGTACAGTAAAAGGCAGTATCATCAAACCTTCTACATTTAACATAATTTTCTGTAGAAATAAAGTGGTTGTGATGAAAAGCAAACCAAATTATGCACGTTTTTGAGTATATTAAAATTGCAAACTCATTGACAGATGGATATACCAAAATCAAGACTATTTCACCATTTCATTAATGTATTTTAATTATTCTATTTAAATTAAATTTAAAATTAAAATAATATATATAAAATATATTAAATTAAACTATTCTAGCAGTGAGTAGAACAGTATTTTTCAAATTAATTATTTTTAAAACTTGATATTGCCTGGCACTTTGTATTTCTTTTGTCTTCAATAACAGTTCAAGGATCTAACCCTCATAGTTTCAACTCTGTCACTTCCTAAAATATCTCTAAAATTGGTTCCATAGCCTGTTGTGTGAGCCTGTTTGAAATGAATAAGCTTCAGGGTGCCCCTCCTTAGCCTCTCCTCAGGTAAGAGGATGTAGCTTCAAACTACAGACTACAGAGGCGAGTGGGAGACAACACTTCCTTTTTATTTTTCTGAAAACCCAGAAAGTCTCCACTAGGAGACATGAGGCCTATTGTATTTGCAGCTTAAAAGTAGAACCAGCTCTCCACAAAGAATCTTCCCAAGTCTAGAAAGGGCTTGTTCTCCTCATATCTTGAGTTCAGGCATTATCAGAAGTGATAGATATGGCAAATTATTTGTATCCATATAAAAATACGCACAAATTGCTTAGTATAAGTAAAACTCCCCCTTATTCCTTCCTTCAAGTATGTTAATGCTGTAACCTCTTATAAAGTGGCTAAAAATAAACATTATTTTCTTCCAAAGTATTACTGAAGGTAGCTAGCCCTTAAAATACTTCATGCAGCAACAGATCCATCACATTTCTAGATTTTGCCTCTTATAGACACATTTTTTTCCTACATCCCCTGAGCCTAAAAAAAAACCAAAACAGTGAATTCTTTACTTCAAGTGGAAATGTGTAAAGGAAAAATCTATACAATATGAAAAAAGCCAAACACTGTCAACCAGTGCCTTCGCCCCACAGAAACTGAAATCATTCTGTTTAGTGTGTAAGAAACAAGAGTCCAAATTTTGATTGTCTAAATTGCATGTAACCTAGACACTAGGAGTGAATATCACAAATAATTTGCTAGACAACTGAACACACTGAAACATGATAAACTAGCTTTGTCAACTTCCTCCCAAAGTTCAAAATTCATGGCCCTCAAGTGTTTGCATGTTTACATTGACACAGGGATTCAGAGCAGAAGCACCTCCAACTCAG